AAAATAATATTACATATATGCATATTATGTATGTCTGTGAATCATACACAAATGTTTGTGGGATCATAGAATCGTAATTTCAATAAATGTAAACTTTTGCAGATGTAAACTTTTGTGATATTCTAATTTTTTGCAGTTATCTATTTCCTATACATTTGCCGCATCTTGAAATTCTAATTTTTATATTTGGAGAAATTATAATCCCCGATTAAAAAAAGAATATAATTGACCGAGAGAGAAACTTTTCAATTTGCGCTATGTGTGAAATTAATGATCATCATCGTTATGCATCAATATTGTAGAAATAATTCCGCATGCTACTTCTCAAATCATTACATCCGCGAATCGGTTCGTCCGCAAACTCGTGGCCTACGCGTGGCCGGGATAGTCTGACAGCTAACGATCCACGTGTGCGACCACTTGAGGCTAGTTTTCCACAAGTTTTCTAAAGTGGGCGCACCTCCTCTCCTTTGCACAGGCGGTTCACTTAGGCTCAATAGGCCGGTAAGTGGCCGCTATTACAACACCGGCGCGCACTTAGGAATCACACGTGTGTGTACTCGCACGAGTGCATCGCCACGTAGTTGCAGCAGCACGTGGCGCGCGTGTGTCCTTGGCGGTGCCGCTTGATCGACATCCTTCGCCGTCACGCAAGAACGTGCGATCCGGAAAGAAATTCGAGCTGCGATCGCGACTCAGCGTATCGGCACCTTGCGTGTAACGTAAGAGACAAGAGAGATTTGGTTGTTTTATAAATACGTGACGCAAACGTAAAACGATCCGACTGCGGTTTCACAGACGGGTAAACAGTTGCACGATTTACTACGGATCTATGAATAGACTGATGGACGGCCATCTTCTTTCTCTACCTAAAAGTCGTCATGCTCCAGCGATAATGACGGAGAATTCGATCTTTAAGCATCTACGCGCGTTGACTCAATGTCAAAGTTAATCCATCAAAGTCCACCGATGATCGCTTGGGTCACCGCGTCTTCTCTCGACACTTCCGACAAGAAAAAAGTCGATATGGCATCGTTTGAAAAATTCGTAGCTAAAAGATGCAATATCCTGTACAATATGTATGCAAAGACCATTCATATATATATATATATATATATATATGAATGGTCTTTGCATACATATTGTACAGGATATTGCATCTTTTAGCTACGAATTTTTCAAACGATGCCATATCGACTTTTTTCTTGTCGGAAGTGTCGAGAGAAGACGATATATAAAACTGATATTCTTATGCAGAATTCCGCGAAAATAGCAGAATAAAATTCGTGACAGCTGGATCTATAAATAGAAGAAAGATAGCGGGGGCGGAGAGATATTCATATTTTGTCGTCGAATGATATCAAAATTGCTAAGATTGGTGGAAAGAAACGAGGGTAGGAGGTCGCGAGGAGCGACCTCTCTATCTGTAGAAAAATGCGACGGATATATCAAGCTGACAATGAGACAAAATAGGCGCGCGGCGATCAATTAAAGCCGCCGATGATAGACCCATACTTACAATTAGTCTTCGCTGATCGGAGCCAGAGATAACTTGGCGTGATCCTTCCGTGTTTTTTGCGCGTGAATCGGAGATCATCCGTTGGCTCCCCCGTCGATCCTCGATAAATCATTCGGAGATAATAACATTTGTCTTCATTGATATCGAATTCCACTTTCGTTTAAAACACGGTCTTACATCGCGCACGTGATCGATAGCGGCTAAACAACAACAATACCGAGTTCTCGCGATTACTCGCGAAATGCGATCTTTATTTCCATTCATATATGCATTGAAGCGCAATCTGTGATACATATCATTTTTCTACAAGAAACAAATACACTATTCATTAATAAGATAAATTTTGTAAAAGAGAAATATTTATATATTTTTTATCAGTTTTGATATTATAACGCAAATATTATGTATGCTTATTTTAATTATATAATTATATATTATAAGAAAAAGAAACGAGAGTATCATTTTTCTATGGATGAAAATAACTTGTAATGTAATATGCAATTTTTTCTATTCAGATTTCTTTAATTTACCGCTGCATCGAACACGATACTTTACACGGAACATTAGCGAGATACAATAGCGTATAATAATACGGTATAGTATAACCGTTTAGCGTTTGATCTTGGCGCAATGACATCGCGACTTTACCACGGGGGGCCGAAGAGACAGTATTTTATATCTTTAATAAAAAAAAAAAGATATATTGCAAAAATGAAAAACAGGTCTTGTTTCTCTTTGCAAGCGAGACAGTTGGACCCACCATTACTGCCCGAAGTATGCGGCGATTCCCAAAAATGAGAGAGCGAATCGCCGCTGTCTTTCACATCTCGTTTGTCCACTACTCGGCATCTAGTTTCTCGGCTTTCGGCGAGGGATGTGGATTCCCCCCGTGGTGGCACGAAAAAGCAAATTGGTGCCATCGGACGCGCGCGTCTGGACCGCTAACTATCCCTCCTCCTCCTCCATCCTGTGTCGCCGGCCCCACGACCGGTAAGAATCTGTCTACCACCGAGCGTCTATTCCACCACCTACTTTTCCTCCCCCTCTTTCATCTCCTACCTCTTCCACTACTACTCCCTCCTTATCGTATCTCTCTCCCTCTGGTCCCTGAAATCTGGAACAAGAACCGCGTGGCGAGGCAGCCCGGTACCAGTGGCACCGACGAACTCGGTACCAACGGAAGTCTCTTGAAGACTTCGGGTCTCGCAGCATCGTCACCACAAGATCTTCCGCCAGTGCGAAAGTATCACAGAAAACGAGTAGTCATTTCATTTCAAGAAGATCAGACTCGGAACAAAGACTTCCAAACGTTAGACTGCACATTGAGACTGAAGGCAAGCTCGAGGAGGCTTTTCGGTCTGCGACCGGATAGAACTGATAAATAATAAACTTGTACACGGGACGATTCGCGACGGTCGGCGAATGCGCCTACGGTGGATCTCGAAGAGCATCAGAACTCCTGGAACCTTTAGAGGGCTCACTGCACGTTTCTTTCGCGATTTCGATCGTGATTCGTCGAGTCAAGAATAACGTTAAGATGACAGAGGGCGATCGTGCAACATGCAAAGCGAGACCGGTGCTTCTGTTTGCGTTGGTTCTTCTGAGCGTTCTGAACGTTGTCGACACCCAAGTCACCTTGAGAAAGTCGCATATCCGGATGCAAAAACTGTGCTCCAGAAGCCTGAGCGACGCTCTGTACCTCGTATGCCGGGAACGCGGCTACAACGAGCCGTTCTCGTACAGCGGCGAGGACGAACCGAGAGTCGATTCCGGGCCGGGCCTCGTCGAAGAGTGCTGTTATCACTCATGTAGCTACGAACAGCTCGAGCGATACTGCAAACCCCTACCTGAGGAGAAGCGAGTCGATTCGAGACACGACGTTATGTGAGTGGATGTTAGTGTGTGTTTTATTTCTTTTCTTATATATTTATCTTTTTATCTTCTCTGTAATTAAATTAATTCTATTTCTGATTCATCTTAGAAAGTCACATTTTCCACACGTTTTTTTTTTCGTTAATTGTATAAACTTTTGTCTCTGCTCTTTCTTTCTTATTATTGCTTGATTATTAAAAATATTCTATTTTTAATTTTTTTCTGCATCTTACATATTTTATTGTATCATTGTAATTCTTTTCATTTACATTTTATCGTGTATTTATTTATTTTTCTCTTATTTTACTAATTATAAGTTAAGACTTTTGTAAGGAGATCTGATTCAAGCGCGTGTTTACATATATTTGATATTTTGTTTACTTTTTTATATCTTCCATTCTTTAAATACATTGCTAAATTCAGAAGAATTTTATTGTACACTTTTTGATTCGCGAATATACATTTCTAAGAAGGCATTTAAATGTTTCAAACGCACGAATAGAAAAAGATATTGGTTCTGACAGTTGACGTTTCAGTAATGAGTAATCGATAAATTCTATTACTCGTCGATCAATTTTCCGCATGATCGCAAAATGTATATCGTTTATTTATACCATACATTTTATCGTCGTCGATAAGCAGATTTATTTTTATTTATAATGGAGAGACGACTAAATACGCACGATCACGTATAAATAGCTGATTATACGTAACAAGATTATGTAATAATTTATATCAATGAATCATTTGTCTCGTACGCTGTCAGCTGACTAATAGGTGATCTGCATCGCGTCAGTACTTACAATTAGAGGGATGGATGGGAGATCGGTGTACTCTTTTCGAGAGAGCGAGTTACCGATATTGAGGAGAGAGAAAGAGAGATAGAGCGAGGCCGCGTGTTATCATGGCCTCGGTGATAATCTCTGCACCTCTTAAAGTTCATGGCTTTATATAAACTGGCTTTTCAGATGGAAGGTTAGTCCGAAGTACTAGGACAACTCGCATATCATGCGTATATAATATTTTTTTTCTTCTCTCTCATCTGCTCTTCTCTCTTTGTAGTAATTGCTCCGTCAGTTTATCGAATTATTCGACTTGTTTTTTCTCCAAAATCTTAATCAAATCTCCTTACATAAATGTTTACAAAAATTTTTTGTCTATACGAACCTGCGTTCTCCTCGTATCAAGCGACATGTTTATTGCCATATTTTTAACGCTGATGTGTTTATCGCGTTACCCTCGGCTTGTTAATTAAACTCGAGTTTAGAATCGACGATCTAATATGGATTTCGAAGATCGAGAGATCATCGTACGCGAGAATTTAACAAATATGATCGATGGGAATTGATTGTGTTAAGTAAATAGTCTAATGGGGTTGAATCATTAATACGGAATAATATTGTGCTAAATTTTAAGATATCTGTGCCCATTTTACGCATGTTATTTATTTACTTATTATTTATTTACTTACCTTTCTTCCTTTTATTTTTTTCAGAGAAGAGTCGTACATAGTGAATCTACCTTACACGATGAAAGATCTATCGTCGGAGCAGAGTCCACGATCGGAGATGGAATACGTCAGCGGTGCGATAAAACGTAAGGTTGATGATTTGAAAAGGGGACGCCACAGGGGGAAAGGTGATCGCAATATTGATGGTGAATGCAAGGGAAAATCTGACGCGAAAAAGCGACACCGCGGCAGGCACTGCAGATGCCGTCGTCGGCGTCTGGAGTGTCGCCGAGCTGGCAAGGTGCTTTCACAAAACGTCATGACATCATTGCTTGCCTATTAATACTTAATATTTTTGTCTATTAATGTTTTCATTAAGTAATTTAATTGGGATTGATGGCATTTTTATTATATTTTGCAATTTGCGAATCTGCTTTCAAATAATGCATGCACTACAGAGATATTTATGCAATAATCATCTAGCACACATCTGCTAAATTTGAGAAACTAGAATTTTGAAATATTTATTTAACAGCTGTATATATTTATTATAATATTAGTATTTTTTTTTTTTTTAATTTTAGTAAAACAAAACTCTTGATTTCGCTTCAGACTGAATTATCTCTATCTACTCTAAATTGTTGTTTATGCAAAAATCTGAAGCGCAGTTTCAGAGTAAACACACTTGATACGATATATTCTTGTTTACGGCGTCGTGCATTGCTGTCTCTGCTTTTCTCCTCGTCTTACATTTCAATCATAAAAATAACTTACGCTTCGCATCTAAAAATAATTATAGATACATAGTATCTCGTGTGTATTTTCTTTTTTTCTTAATGTTGCATGATGGGCATTTGTCATCGACGTTGATATTGCAGCGTAGCTTCAGATAACTATTGATCCCTTTTGCATGGACTGTCTCCTGTATCTATTAAATAATTCTTGATATTAACGAAAAAACGATCGCGATTAACGGGTGTGTACACTTCTATCGTTCCAGATCTCACGCGGCGACGCTAAACTTTTAGATAATATCGTGACATCGTCGCCAACAGATAAGCCTACGTCATTTTCCTCTATATCGTAATGCAACGTTGCAGTGCTAAAAACATTGCCGGTCTTTCACACGAGGAATTGTAGGAGATGCGATTTCTATGAGAAGCGGTACTCTTAGAGCGAACTTACTTTTTTCTTCATGCCATTCTTCGACCTGTCATTCTGTATTCGTCGCATCGCTGAAATAATTGACGAAGTTTGCACACGGATGATCGCTCGTAGAAAAAAAAAATAAACGGAGAATTCGAGACAGATGTTTCGGGATGATTGAATTCTACGAAGAAGAAGAAGAAATCGAGATTCCTAAAAGAAATAAAATGTTTTTTTTTCCTTTCTAAAGAAAAGGAATTTGCGTGGAAAGAAAATTATTTACAGCAGGTGTAGAATGTCCCATCACGCATTTAATAGATTGAAACAGCGATGAAACGTATCAGCGGTATAAAGTGTCATCTGCCAATCGCAATTTTGAATATGAAAAAATTTGCGATGGAGGCAAAAGCCTCGATATTGATGGGAAAGGATGTGGTTTTTTTAATGACGCTTTCTTTTAATGTCAGAAACAATGTCATTAAAGAAATAGTGAAATTCGATGACGACTCGAGATAAAGTCACGGACTATATCGAACATAATTGTGATGGACTTGAGTTAGAATGCAATTCGGGACAATTGAGTCGTGATCTCGCAGAGAAAAAAAAAAGACTTTAAATAAGTGATTTAAATAAGTGATTTCAACGTAAGCGTTTCTAAACGTTCGGGAACAGCTCGGATATTCACCAGTGATCTTAGTTTTATTGACAACTGATGATCTCATTAGTATTAAAATTTTTGTTGTAGATTTAAGGTTTAATATAGACTTCAATTTGAAACGCACATCCCCGACGAACGTGTACTTTATTAACGAGTCCACCAGCGAATGGATGAGATTCAAAAATGCGGAAATGTAATTTTTAATAAAGACGTAGATTCAGAATTCAGAACTAGTTGTAGATAGGAATTTTATTACATTGTACACATAGCATAGTAGCGCGTGAATCTTATCCGCCATCCGAAGATTTCAAATGATATCTGCATTAATAATAGCGACCAATAAACATTTATACGAGTTAACCGATTTGTTTTTATATTTTGTGGAATACCTGATTTTGAAGTAAGAAGAACTAATTTAGTAATTGTGACAAATATAAAATAATAAATTTGATATATATATATTGAATTTTATAAAATTTTATTTATATGTATATGCTATTTTAAGGAAGCGCTAATTTCGAAAGTTATCAATTCTTAATCTTAAGACATTTGACTTGCCAAACAAGGTATGTGCATTTCTTTAAGGCACTTGTCGACATTTTGGCAGCATTTTGATGCTGTTTCTAAGAAAACTTTCCAAGCCTCTTCTTTCGAAGCTCTCGGTGATCTTTCGTACATATCATTAAACAATTCGTCCAATTCTTCGTCATTGAGATCGAGATCGTCGTTAAAGACCTGCCAAACATTATGCCACTTGATTTTTTATTGCTTTTATAAATTCAACTTTATTGTTAGTTTTATTTAATCTATTACCTTTATTTCTCTCAAGTTGATTAATTGTTTACTAATGCATTTTTTAATAGTATTAATTATTATGTTAGTTATATTATGACATTGTTAAAATTATCCAATTATAAAATGTTCCGATCCAGTCGCTTATTTTATTTTATTGTGAGTCGGATGTGAAAGGTGTCGAAGCACTATACATTATCGTCGGAGAAATTTACATTAGAGGCAGTTGCATATGTTAATCGCACGAATAATAAAGGTTAATGTGTTATAGAACAATTTTTGTTGTCCATCGTTATTATTTGATTGCGCGTTATCGATTTCGTTATACCGTGTTTTTCAAGGGATTATATAGCAGGAAAAAGGCTATGATATTTTCTCAGCAATATGATGGATCGCAATCTTGATGGATCGACTGGATTCCGTTTTCCAAAGAGCGAAATGGATTCTAGAAGTGATTGGCTTACCGGGGCGCGGAAGGGTGTAACACTCTTCCTGCCGAGCGGATAAGGCGCTGGGGAATAATATCCTGACCGATCGAAAGTAGGTCTTAACAGGCTTGGACCGGGATCGTAATATCCTGTCCCGGATACGATATGCGCTCTGGCTTTGGCAGCGCCATTTATAGCCGCCGTCACAATTGGCGGGGCGATATCGCCGGCAACTAGTTCTGATGACAGCTGCCTTTTCTGCGGAACGCCGTGAGACGCTGAATCATTTACCCTGGGATAGTAGCCTGAAAGAAAACGCGATTGTGAATCGTGCGTCGATCTCAAATAGATTAATATTTTGAGATTCGTCAAAGGAAAAATCTCTGCGACGAGATTTTCATCGTCGTAAGGTCACAATGCGTGCTATTTTCTGACACCATAATTTCTCCTCTCAACGATATTTATTTATTTATCAAGCAATTTAAATGTTGAATTCTTGACAATTCTTAATAATTTTATAATTGGATATTTTTGTTGTATTTTATCATAGACAAAGATATTTTAAACCTGCAGGTATTAATTTGAAATTTGAACAAATGAGAAAATTTACGCCTCATGTTTATTTTAATAAATATTTTTCTTTTTGTATACTTTATTTTATATAACAAATATATAAAATTCATATTTATAAATATCTTTAATGTGGTCGCTCACCAGAATGCTCTTGTCTCTTTGATTCGTATTTTTCGTCGTACTTTAGGAGATCGAATTTCTCCAAACCCCTCTTGCCTCTAGCACCGAGCCTGCATTTTTTCATGTGTACATCCATCACGATCGTCTTGCACTGCGTGCTAGCCCACGAGATCCCACACGTGATTATGAGAATTAGCGCGATCCGATGTGCTTCGCTACGATGCAGATGCATCTTTAAATTGCAATTTGATCCGATTGCCTTGGATCATCCGGTACTGCTCGCTTTATATAAAATCCGAATGTTAGGACTCGTCGTGCTTTTAACAATGTCCTTATCCGAATATACGTGTCAAAGATATGTTTTTGTAATCATGTCGATGTTCTTTTATTTATACTGCTATGCACGTACGTCACCGCACGTATAAAAGCAGGTAATTATTATCAAGTGGCCGATGATGATGAGAAGCGCTTTCGCGAGATATCTATGATGAAGGGTATACCTATATCATATAAGGGTATATCATATCTATGATGAATTCATACAAAACAAAGGTTTTGGGATACATAAATGTCTTTATTAGCAATCTATATATTTCATATTTTTTTGAAAGATAGATTTCGCGAAAAAATGTCTGTAAGAATTAAGTAAAATTTATAAAAGACATATAATAGATTATTTATTTTATTAATTACAATGAACTTAAAATGTGGCTCTTTGTATTATAGTATTATTATATAGTACAGTACAATTTCGTGCGGGTAATAAACGGCCTTACCTCATTGCTACGTGGGTGTCAATTGATACGAGGATGGAATGCTCTACACGTTCTTGCGCGCGTTACAGAAAATTATCTGCGAGATTTGCGCTTAATGACACACGTGTTTGGGAAGGCGCACAATCATCTTCAAATATTCTAAACAATTGATAATCATAGGCGGCAAGAATGTTTGTTCCCATATAATTTTGTTACCTTTGTAATCTATTCGCTAAATTAATTATCGGTTGCGGAGTTTTAAATTACTAATTAATAAGTTATATGAATTAGTAATTATTATTATTAATTAGTGTTATTTCTTAATTAATATTTTTTCTAAATATTTCATATAGATTAAATAACATATCTAGATTTATGTTATAATTATGATAGATTAAATAATGTTATCTAAATTGAAATAACATGTGTGATTCATGACATGATTAATATTTTAATATAGAAGACACTTGCGTGAGTAAAGTTTATATAATATAATAGTGATTCTCGTGCGAGATAATATTAACAAGATAATCATGCACGGTCTTTAATTAGATTTTTATCTGATTCCAAATATTATTGATAAAATTATTTTTTAAATTAATATATTCTGCAGTAAAATTTATTAACGTTTTTATCTTTCTCTATTTTATATATAAAATAGAGAATATTATAATATATACAGGGTGTCCTAAAACTACCGTATTTCCTCTTAATGGCAGATTCCTTAGAACATTCCAAGACGAAAATCCTAATACAAAAATGTCGAGACATAACAAATAAGAAAAAGGGCGCCTCATTCATAGAGCACTTTTTTCACTTGTTATTTCACCGTGTCTGAGCGTGCAAAATCTCGGCTCTGTCATTCGTAAAATATAATTGCTTCCCGTTTGAAAACTATTATAGTCTCGACATTTTTATATTAGGATTTTTGTCTTGAAATATTCTAAGGAATCTGCCATTAAGAGGAAATACGGTAAATTTAAGACACCCTGTATATATAGGAAAAAGTATGGTAAAACCGGTACTTCTTTGAATTTATGTATCGACAAAAAATTAGAGGGTAAAAAAATTTTGCTGACCGTTAGTAGTTTAGTAGACCGAAAATGAGGCTAGTTGCTGAAAGGAAATATTTGGTTACCAAGGATAACAAGATTTTTTGGAGAAGTCAAAATACCCGGTTTTGCCCTACCGGTAGGATAAAACCGGGTATCCATTTGGAAACATGTAAAACACCGTGCAATTACAAAATCTAGATTTATTTTGATCAAAATACAATTCGAAGATGTATCCTATTGACAAAAATCACAAATAAAGATATTCTTTTGTTCTACATTGCTGCAGAACTTTTTTATTTAATTTTTGAACTGTAGGGGTCTCAAAAAGCTTTTTTTTAGTGGTTTCTTTTACTGAAGAGTAGTTTCTGTTTCTAACTGCTTTTTGTAAGAAGACAAAGTCAGGAAAGAGATTCTCCTCTTTTTATTACATGAGGTGTATAGATACCCGATTTTGCTCCAACACAAAGAAAAAAACAAACACGGCTGTATATTCCGGCGTACAAAGTGACGATCAAAACTAATGCGATATATTCTCTAATATGTACAGAATGCAATGCTGCATTTTAGTCCAGTAAAATAGTATCAAAAACACCGAATATATAACGGATAGACAAGCCAATTTTTTGAGGGTGAGTAGAAGGTCATAGGAGATGCCCGAATTCACAAAGTTCCAACAAAATTTCCCTGTGCGTCGGCGGCCATCTTCAAAATAGGGGTAAGTTTGGATATCTCGACTTCTATTGGTCGAATAAAATAATTAGTGTTTTTTTTTGGCAGGACATTAGTGCCTTAGTTGGCAGGAATTTTATTGTGAATTGTCGTACATTAAACTCTTTTCCGCACCACCACTGAAGTAGAGTTTTCGAACACGACATTGCTACAGAACTTTCTTATTTAACTTTTTAACTTTAGAGGTGTCAAAAAACTTTTTTTTAGTAGTTTCTTTTTCTGAGCGTTAGTTTTCTTTTCCAACTGCTTTTTGTAGGGAGACAATGTCAGGATAACAGTTCTTCCTTTTTTCATTATATGAGATGTGTAAGTACCCGGTTTTGCCCCAACACAAGGAAAGTAACAAATACGGCGGTTGTATATTTCGGCGTTCAAAGTGCCGATCAAAACTAATATGATATACTCTCTAATAATACAGAATGCAATGGTGCACTTACCGAAACTGATGCTCTATATAGAAAAAGTGCACGACGACTCGATTCTTGCCTCGATATCGATCTTTTTGGGGATATAAACTTTGAACTTTTATTAAAAAAGAGATATCGTGTGCATAGAGGCAGGATTTGTTTTAAAATAATGATGGCGCCAATCTACAACTAATAACACAAGTTAGCCATAGATAGCAGCATTTATTACGAAAAAACAGGGGTGCCCGGTTTGACCCGCCTATCCGGTTTTACCCAACTTTCCCCTATAATAAAATTATTTTAAAAAATTATATATTTAAAAAAATGTTTTAATATACAATTATTTTAATAAAATTTATATTTATATATAAAAGAGTTCTACGAAAAACGCCGGTGTGACTTCTCTTAAGGCTATTGCACGTGAAAAAGTTTTAGTCGTAATCTTAGCATTTTAACAATAGGAATGTTTGACTGTGATTGATTGATTTGTTTACTAAGACTACGCATTGAAGATTGAGATTGAAGTTTCAAGATTGAAATTTGACCAATTAAGACAAAAAAATTTTAATTTCTTTTTTTTTTATTAGTCAAATTTCAATTTTTAATCTTCAATCTTCAATTTTCAATGCGTAGTCTGATACGGGCTTTACGGTTATGACTACAATTTTTTCACGTGCAATCACCTTTAGGTCTTTAGACTTCTCTCTGTTATCGACATAAGTCTACATAACCCGACTGTGGCAATGTAGAGAACGTCGACTTTCAGTAAGCGAATACTTCTTTATCAGCGCATGTGTCGGAAATGCTTACAATCTATACAATCTACACAGCTGCAAACGAGCGACATCGTCATATGATTCGGCGAGATACTTCCTGCGATCCTAAAGGTGCCTTTACATGGCAGCATTAAGCGTCGAGCGTCTGCGCAGAAAAATGCGCATAATTTAAAAGAGATAGATTCTAGGCTGAAATTAGATTCTGCGCAATTTTCTACGCAGACGCTCGACGCTTGACGCTGCCATGTAAAGGCACCTTAATATCGCGGTTTGACACGTAAGACACACGCACCGTTTTCCTTTACGCTCGTCTTTAGATGATATATAAATGAGTAATCTTTGACAGATCGAACATTGTCACGTGTTTTTCTTAATCCTAATTGTAGATACGTGCTCAATTTACGAAGAACCAAGAAAATGGGTGCAATAACCGAGCAACCGTGCTATACTCTGATAAACATCCCGACCGACACGGAGCCCCTGAATGAGCTCCAGCTGAAGCAGGATCTTGAGAAAGGAAATGTTCAGACGAAAATCGACGCACTTAAGAAAACCATTCACATGATCTTGAGCGGTGAAAGATTACCGGGACTGCTAATGACGATCATTAGATTCGTTCTACCTCTGCAGAATCACACTATCAAGAAGCTGTTGTTGATATTCTGGGAGATTGTGCCAAAAACTTCTGCCGATGGCAAGCTCCTGCAGGAGATGATCCTGGTATGCGATGCGTATAGGAAAGATTTGCAACATCCTAATGAATTTGTCAGGGGATCTACTCTCAGGTATAGAAATGACTGTATGTATATAGGGGTCATGTGTTACAAGAATAAAATTATATATAATTCATTATTATTTATAGATTTTTGTGCAAACTGAAGGAACCAGAACTTCTCGAGCCACTGATGCCAGCAATAATTGCTTGTCTAGAGCATAGACACTCTTATGTCAGACGCAACGCAGTGCTTGCTATTTTCACTATTTATAGAAACTTTGAATTTCTTATACCAGATGCTCCAGAATTGATAGCAAAGTATTTAGAAGGGGAGCAGGATATGTCGTGCAGAAGAAACGCATTCCTGATGTTGTTACATGCTGATCAGAGTAGAGCTCTTGCTTATTTAGCTGCATGCCTTGATCAAGTGCCTAGTTTTGGCGATATACTACAGTTGGTTATTGTTGAATTGATATATAAGGTATAAATAAATATACTTTATTATTGTTTAAAGCATGAATGCATATAGTTTGTCTAATACAGATATTAATATTATAATAAATTATTTTGTTCTAGGTTTGTCTTGCAAATCCATCAGAAAGGGCACGTTTTATCAGATGTATTTATAGTTTGCTAAATTCACCTAGTGCCGCAGTACGTTACGAAGCAGCCGGCACATTGGTAACTCTTTCCAGTGCGCCAACCGCAATCAAAGCCGCAGCCTCCTGCTATATCGAATTGGTTGTTAAAGAAAGTGATAACAATGTCAAGCTCATTGTACTTGATCGACTAATTGCAATGAAAGATAGTCCTGTTTATGAAAGAGTACTTCAAGATCTTGTGATGGATGTACTTCGTGTCTTAGGTATTGTGTTGATACTTACAATGACAAATTGTGCTAATGGATCTTCTATATGCTACTATTATTATTATTTACTATAAATAGGATCACCAGCTTTAGAAGTCAGAACTAAGACCTTAGCCCTGGCTATGGATTTGGTCACAACTCGTACGATCGAGGAAATGGTTCAACTTTTAAAGAAGGAAGTTCTCAGGACAGCTGGTGGAGAGCATGAGGATGCTGGCAGATACCGTCAACTCTTGGTACGAACCCTCCACGCTTGCTCCATGAAGTTCGCGGATGTTGCTGCCACCGTTATTCCTGTATTGACAGATTTTCTGTCGGAGAGTAACGAAGCGGCCGCTACAGATGTTCTTGTATTTGTTCGTGAAGCCATTCAGAGATTCGAGAATCTTAGACCGTTAATCGTCGAGAAACTTTTAGAGGTGCATATATGATTTAGTATATCAATAAATATATCTTTATAATTGGCGTGATAAACAGAAATTAATTTTGATTTTAATGAATTAGGTATTTCCTCACATACGATCCGTAAAAGTGCACAGAGCCGCGCTTTGGATTCTCGGTGAATACGCCACATCGAAGGAGGATATAGAAGCCGTGATGGGCCGCGTACGTGCAGCATTAGGCGAATTGCCATTGCTTGAGGCAGAAAATAAACGTCAAGCCGGTGAAAAGTCTGAAGATGGTAACTCACAAGCTGCACCAACGCAACTTGTCACATCTGATGGAACATATGCGACTCAAAGTGCTTTCAGTGCTACATCTGCACGTGAGTAACTCTCTTGAGTTTAGATATAAAAGATATTTCATATATTATTACATAAATTTGAATTAATTTATTAGGAAAAAAGGAGGAGAAGCGACCAGCGTTAGTGCAATATATGATGGACGGCGACTTTTTCATCGGCGCGTCTTTGGCTACTACATTGGCAAAGTTAGCGTTACGTTATAAGACGCTTGAAACTAACATCCAAAAGAGCAACAGATTACAGGCAGAAGCGATGCTCATAATGTCCAGTATGCTACAGCTAGGTCGTTCAGGTCTTCCCATTAAAGCAATGACGCACGATGATGCGGAAAGGATCTCCTTGTGCCTTAGATCGCTCGCTTGTCCAACACCACTTGTACAAAAAGTTTTCACCGAGGGATGTCGCGATGCTCTTGGCAGAATGTTGACTGCGAAAGCGGAAGAGGACTCGCAAAATCAAAAGGCTAAGGAGAAACCGGGCAGCATCGTCCAAGTCGATGACGCGATTCAATTCTTACAGTTGAGTCGGGGATCCGATTTGGCCGGTGGTGCCGGCGATGTATTCGAGCAAAGTCTCAGTGCAGCTGTCGTAGGACGACCCGGTGCTAGCGGAGATGCACCAGCACCAAGCGTCTTGAGTAAAGTCACTCAGCTCACCGGTTTCTCGGATCCAGTCTACGCGGAAGCCTTGGTCCATGTCAACCAATACGACATTGTGCTTGATGTACTGATAGTCAATCAAACGGAAGACACTCTGCAGAATTGCACCTTGGAACTGGCCACTATGGGCGATCTGAAGTTAGTAGAGAGACCGCAACCCATCGTACTCGCACCGAGGGATTTCGCCAGTATCAAGGCGAACGTGAAGGTCGCATCTACGGAAAACGGAATTATATTTGGAAATATCGGTGAGCGATCTAGATACTTGGAAAGTTGCCGATTTCGGCGCATGCAATTTACGTGGCTATTACTTTTTTGTTTGCAGTTTATGATGTATCAGGAGCGGGTTCCGACAGAAGCGTTGTTGTTCTCAACGATATACACATCGACATCATGGATTACATAGTACCCGCGACGTGTACCGACGCGGAATTCCGCCAGATGTGGGCCGAATTTGAGTGGGAGAATAAAGTGTCGGTCAACACGACTCTATCTGATTTGAGAGAGTATCTTGCTCATTTGTTGAAGTCCACAAATATGCGTTGTCTCACGCCGGAAAAGGTACGTACAATTTTTCTATTTTCTATCAGATTATTAAATCGCAATTTTTTCTCTATATAGGCTCTCTCGGGACAATGTGGATTTATGGCGGCGAATATGTATGCTAAATCGATATTCGGTGAGGACGCCTTGGCAAATTTGTCTATCGAAAAACCATTGAATAAACCCGACGCACCAGTGGTTGGTCATATTCGTATCAGGGCCAAGAGCCAAGGCATGGCCCTGTCGCTGGGTGATAAGATCAATTCGGCGCAGAAAGGCCCGCAAACTAAGGTCGTTCAAGCTGCTTGAAATACATCATTTCGATTAAATTCTTTGGATATCTTTTTTGGTGTATTATTTCGCAAACAAATGGATTTATTAGATTCGCTCGTATCGCAATTATATTAAAATGCGCATTGTACAATATACGTGCGCATTAATTTCATATCATGTTTAACTGTATTACATTTCCTGCCGACACACTATTGTCATAGCATGCTATATAAATGGATATAAATACTACATAATAGGATATATTCATATATATATATATATAGTCTTAAGGAAATAAATATACGCAATACTTTATCTATATAAACTTCGTTTCTTTAAATCTTTTTTGACATAGTTATATGGAACAATGCATCTCTGTAACTTTTTAAATAAAATAATTCTTAACGAAAAAAATGTCTCAATCCTCTATAACTCAAATTATTTTCGAGGTCTTTGATGTTTAATATGTATATATAGGAAAATAATAATTAAATAGATTAAATAATAAATGTAGATATTTTTTTTTGAAGATGTAAAGAATCTAAAAACTGGTTTTTATATTATTTCAAAACTTTAATAAAAAGAGTCAAAGTAACATCTTTAAATCTTCATCGATATACATTTTTTTCGACAAGAATTATGTTAAATATAATATAATTTCATAAATTTTGTCATTTCAATTGATTAATATAATCCTTTGCCTTAGATTTAAAGCCATCCTCCTCTCGAAGATTTACTATGCGGCGGAATAGCTACGAGCTTCTCTCTATCATTATCTTTGTTACTGTCCGAGGTAACCGTTAGAGACGGAATTGAAAGTTTAGGACTATATGAAGCTTTCGGCCGTGCTCTGATTGAACTATTTCCGTCTTTGACGCTAATAAAGGATGTATTTGTGACAGTAATCGCTGCGGGTTTGCTTTGATTTTCTGTGGAAGAGCTAGAAGTAGTTTTCGTCACAGTAGCAGTAGTGGTGGATTTTGCAATAGTAGAAGTAGCAGCGGTAACAATAGTCGTGGTTACAGTGATTGAGGTGCCGATAGCAGTTACAGATGTAGTGGAGACAGCCGGAGTAGTACTCGTAGTAAACGTGGATTGAGTAGAAATTGACGGTTGTTCTAAAGAGAGAGAGAGAGAGAAATAATAGCGCAATATATACTCGTATATATTAGCAATAAATATAATATAATATAATATAATATAATATAATATAATATAACATAAATTAAATGCCATAATTAAATATAAATAATATTTTGTAATGTGATACACATTTTGATAATTTTAACATTGTATATTATATGATCGCTTCATAATTAATAATAATAGTCATATAATTAATATTCATATAATGTAATTCACACATATAAATTCTATAAAAAAATTACCGGTTGATTGAGTATTCGATAGAATAGGTGCCTTCCTCTTGATCACTCGTGGTGGTGATGTGCGAAGCGGTAACAATGGCGTAACTTTTGTAGTTGTCTCGTTGACGAAATTAACCGAGGATGTAGATTTAGGCTATGTAAAAAATATTTTTATAAACAATATTTCAATTTTTAATAAATAATTATGTAATAGTTTATTATATTAGATGACTTTCAAAATTTTTTAAAATTATTTAGTACTGATCCTCTCTCTCTCTCTCTCTCTCTCTTGCTTAGAAAGAAATTAAATTGTTTTACGTTTATCATAGAACGCTTTGGATGTCGTAAATGTAAATTATTAATTTAGCACCTGAATAATGGATTCGAATGGTTGAGAACCGATTCCGTTTCTAATTGGTTCCGGAGTTTTGCTTTCCGAAGTTTTAGCATCATTTTCAGTCTCGTTTACGATATCGTGTAGGACATGCCGTATCGTATCTGCTGTAGTTGCTGGTAATTCGACCGGAACAATTGATGGTAATGGACTCTTTTGTGACAGACGTTTCGCCTCCTCCATCGCTCTCTTCAGGCTCTGTTGATTCTGCAGCGATGCCCTGCTGGTGCTCTTGCCGATTTGCGAGCTTTTAACTGCGTTTCTTACGACCTATATAAAATCGTACGTGACAGAAAGTTTATTAGCTTCGATTTTTTTTATATTATGAAATAGAGGGATCTCATGCACCTGAGTCCAACGATGTTCGGCCGAAGTTAATACCGCTAATCTGGCGACTCTCCTCCATCTTTCGACATTGCTTTCGTTTTCGTGTTGTTGAAGAGCCACTTCTTCTTGAAGATCGATGTCAGCTGGATTCACAGGACCTGATACTTGGAAGTCTTTCATGAGTCTTCGTTCCCAGACCTTCATCTTCTTTCCCAATACAGCTAGACAAGAAGGAAAAACATATGAGTTTTAATATAGTTTTACATTAAAATTTTTGCAAAAAAAGTTTTAATTTTATTCTATACTGTCGTTTATTATTAGCAATAGATATTTAGTAGTTGGAAAATGTCGCAATATTTATATAAGAATGCTTACTTTTTTCTTTTTTATCGACACTGCCAATGTCCATGCCGTTTCTGTGCAAAATGTCCAGAAGTTCGCATCTCCAGGACGACAAATCAGTCTTAAGTTCATGAACATCGTCTTCAGTGACAGGTTCCATCTCATGCTCGCTGTGCGCGTTCACAATGTATCGCCATATCAAAGCTTTCATAACAGCTCCATATCTACATAATAATCGTACATACATATTAACAACAGGAATACATATATATGTATAATTAAACATACTTTTATCGTCATACAATATTGTCTGCAGATTAATAATCAATTAATTATTAGTTTCCAACATTAACTAGTTATTATTAATCACACTAGTATTAATTACATTAGTTTATAAATATCACACTTTTTTTAGTGCTAGAAATGGAAAAAACATTTTTTAACGTATATTGGAGCGTTAAATCAAAATTCGCAAGGCAAAATGGTCTATCAGGTCAGATTTTTAAGAAAAATGGGATTAAAATTCACAAAGAACGCGTTTTTTACCATTTTTGAAAATTCATAGTAGACGAACCCGATGTGCAAGAGACTTCAGACAGGGTTTAAATGAAAATTTGAACATTGTACTTTAATATAAAAATATCGAATCTTTTACCGCAGATACAATCGAACCTCAGGCGCGTTTTGTTTTTAAGTGTAGTCGCATTGTGTCAAATAGAACGATTGTTCCATACAATCCAATTGCAGGTAAAAGATTCGATATTTTTATATTAAAGTACAATATTCAAACTTTCATTTGAGCCCTGTCTGAAGCTTCTTACACATCAGATTCGTCTGCTACGAATTTTCAAAGATGGTAAAAAACGCGTTTTTTGGAGGTTTCAATCCCGTTTTTCTCGAAAACTTGACCTGATAGAAATTTTTTAATGACAGATTTGTGTTCAGTGTTTAAAATTACTCTAGAAACAGTGTTCAAATGCTCTGGCACAAAACTTTGTAAACTAGTGTTATAGTTACTTATTTACTATCAGTTAATAGAAAAAAGTAAATTTTATTTCTGTATTATATTATTTTGCTTATATTTGCAAATGGTTTAAGATATCTCACTTGTGTTCGCGTGCACGTCGACGTTGACTGCAACGTCTACCGACGGACTTCTTTTGCAATCCGAAGAATCGGAAAAGCAACTTTGGAGGCGGAAAGATGTTGAAGGGCGGCGGGAGAGTTCCGCTATCCTCGAAGTAGCTCATCCATAATTTCGTTCGCGCGAATTTCCACTCCGTGTCAGAATGTTCCTATCGCGTCAATGTTTCCGTTAACGAGATCATTCAGGTCACAAATATCATTCGAGTCGGAGACTTACTTCGATAACAGCATAGCTATTGCTCATCATAGCTATCAGTAGATTTAGCAGGACAATCACATTGATCACGGAATACGATCCGAACATCAACAGGCCCCAGAATCGAGTGTATGATTTGATTCCTGAAAAAAAAAAAATATTGGTGTTTAGAAAATGATGGGTGTTAATCGATAAGATAAAGATGATGAGTAAATTTTATAACAAGAACAAAAAGATTATTTTTGCATATTTGAATTACATGAACGAACGTACCAGAGAGTTCGAAAGTTTCGATGCCGATCATACCGAAACTGGCCCAGAAGAGGCTTTGACAAGACTCGAACAAATTGCTGAATCTGAAAATATTTAATGAGAAATCTATTTATAAAATAATATATTGAAAAGATAATTATGTTAAAATTATATCTAAAAGAAAAAATATATTAAGAAAAACTGCTCGGTCTTTTCAAAAGATTTGTGTTCAAAAAATGTATAAGGGAAAGTAGTAAAACCGTGTATTTTTTTGGATTTGTCTTCCTACAAAAAATCAGAGTAAAAAAAATTTTGCTGACCGTTAGTAGTCTTTAGTAGACTTTAAACTATGAGAAAATGAGGCTAATTGCTGAAAAAAAAAAATTTGGTTACCAAGGATAACAAGATTTTTTGGAGAAGTCAAACTACCCGGTTTTGCCCTACCGCGCGGTAGGGTAAAACCGGGTATCCATTTGAAAACATGTAAAACACCGTGCAATTACAAAATCTAGATTTATTTTAATCAAAATACAATACAAACATGTATTCTATCGACAAAAATCACAAATAAAGATATCCTCTTGTTCTACATGCTGCAAGACTTTCTTATTTAATTTTTGAACTTTAGGGGGTCTCAAAAAGTTTTTTTTTAGTAGTTTCTTTTTATGAGTAGTAGTTTTCGTTTCCAACTGCTTTTTGTAGGAAGACAAAGTCAGGATAACAGTTTTTCCTCTTTTTATTACATGAGGTGTGTAGATACCCGGTTTTGCCCCAACACGAAGAAAAATAATAAACACGCTGTGTATTCCAGTGTACAAAGTGACGATCAAAACTAGTGCGATATACTCTCTAATATGTACAGAATGCAATGCTGCATTTACCGAAGCAGATGCTCTGTGTAGAAAAAGTCCATAATGACTCGATTGTTGCCCTCGATCTTTTTTGGCCCAAAAATTTTGAGTTTCTCTCAAAAAGGAAGTATCGTGTACACGTGGGCACGGTTCATCTCAAAATAATGATGGCATCAATCTACAACTAATAACACGAGTTAGTCAAAGATAGTAGCATTTATCACGAAAAAACAAAGGTACCCGGTTTGATCCGCCTACCCAGTTTTACCCTACTTTCTCCTACATGTTTCCAGGAAAGTCACGTATTTATTATATGTATTGCAAAAGCTGTTTTCTTCATAAATAATTCAATATTCAATATTACAGATTTGAAAAGGAATGCGCGGTCTGTTATTTTTTCATGATTATTAGACGGCGAAAACACATACACACACGTGCGCGTATCAGAGATGTAGTTTGAAAAGAAGGAAACGAACGCGTCTCTCATCCGTGTCTGGCAATTCGATTATTCCATTCACCTTCTCCATCTTA